TGTGCTGTGCACACACTCTAACTTACAGTTTTTCAGATTTAAAATTTATAAACCTGTACATTAAACGTATCAAGAAACTCATTAAATTTTTCTGATCCTCAAAACAAAGCTAACGCCTTGACTAGGCACAAATTGACTTGGCAAATCGTAACGTAACTCATATGGAGCCTATTCAAATTTACTCCAAAAATATGCTTGAAGGCATATCTGAAACTGATGATGATGATGAGCCGGAAACGTACGAAATACCATCCATTTTGTGTACTATTGAGGATACCAAAACTCGTTGGAATTCATCTTACCAATCTTGGCAGAGGCTTTTAACTTTGCGTCCAGCAATCGAATGGCTTTCTGAAACTTTACCTCTACAAAATAAAGTTGGCGCTAAAGAAGATTCTGCCAAATTGAACTGTTATATGCTTAAAGATTATGAATGGCAGTTATTAAAACAATTGATAAAAGTATTTAAGCCATTCGACAAATTGACAACATACTTTAGCAGGGTCCAATATACCACTCTTTCGGTCATTAATCCAAGTATAGAGGCATTAAAGTTTGAATTTGCCGATGACATGTTTGACGAATCCTTCATGAAAAACTTTGATAATGGTAGATAATAGTTAATTAATTTTATAATTTTTTATAAAATATTAGTTAAACTAACTATTTAATGTTTAAAAAATATAGATGAGATATTATTAGATGATGATTTTAGCGACGAGGAACTTGATGATGATAAAGAAAATCAATTCTCACCTAGCATTATAATCTTGAAGCTTCGTGTGGTTATTTATAACTCTCTATAGCATTACTGGCAAGATTCGGATGTCATTAAACTCATAGCCACATTACTAGATCCACGATTAAGGTCAATGAGTTCATGGTCTGCAAATATACAAAGACAAACAATTAACAAACTGCATGATGAATTTTACACTTGGAAGGATACAGTTGTGGTTGATGAATCAGAAGCCCATAATAAAGAAACTACTACTCCTAGTTTTATGAAAAAGATATTTAGTGTTAGTAATAAACAAATAAGTAACAAAACTGAAATTGACAACTATTTAGAAACAGTAATACCAAATTTATCTGAATCTACTGATATTTACGACTGGTGGCGTAAAAATCAACATTCTTTCTCTATTTTAAGTAGAATAACCCTAAATATTTATTAATCCCCGCTACTTCAGTTCTAAGTGAGCATCTTTTTTCTGATGCAGGAAACCAAATTACTTCTAAAAGGAACAGGTTATCGCCTGAAGTTATAAGCAAAATTATGTTTATTAAGCGTAATAGTTTGTATTGTAAGGTTTGGGAATAAAAGATCTATAATTAATAAAATATAGATAGTTAAGTGAAAACATATTATAATCACCCACCTTTATTATCTCTGTGATCCGACTAATGTACTAATGTTAACTTATGTTAGCCTTCTTAATTAAGCATAAGTGGCTCTTGATTCTTTGTAGTGATAGTTTACACTTTAACAATTAAATTGGGATCTAACGTCGGGTATACCATTGTACTGATAGCAAGACGTAATTAGTAAAAAAAAAATTCGATGACATACAAATAAAATATGCAATGTGCGCTTTAGGTTTATCAAATCGAAAAATTGCAGGTGTTAGCAGATCTTCTACAAGTTGAGTTCTTAGGCACTTTCTAGGTATTGAAAAATTTTGTATTATATCCAACTTTTCAATATTAGCACTAACTCACGTAATACGTATGTTTATAATAAAAGTCTAATTTATAGCTGAGGCTTTTTTATATTTCTTGTCAAGATTTATTGACAGTTTTTTCCATAAATTTTGTACAAAAATTTAATAAATTTTGTTAACATTATATACCGAAATTAACTTAATCAAATTAAACAAAAATTGTTTTTATATTTGAAAAGAGCAGTGATTCTTTCTTTGCGTATATTACTACCCGGGTGACCTCTTTATACTAACCGGGTGACCTGTCGGGTTACCTGTCACGGGTGATCCGGGTGGGTGACGTTTTTATGTTTACCTGATTTTCATCTGGGTGGCCTATTGTCTACCTGACGGGTGACCCGGGTAGAAATTTTTTAGACGAGTCAAATCACTACTAACGATCACGTGTCGAGGCTTTGAAGTCGAATGTTCTAGGACCCGAATTGGATTTTATATGAGAGTTGTAACTAGAACACTGTATGAGATATGCAATATTCCAAAGTTATATGCATATAATTTTTAGCCCTTAGCACAGGATAAAGTGCACTTTAGTTTGTTTTTTTGTCAGATAGCTCTATGTATAGATTTCTACGACCATGTAAATAGTTTTTCACCTGGTTAACAGGTTTTTATATCTGTAAATAAGTTCTCTTGATTTTAGAATGGTCTTTTAATTTCTTTAAATTTGGTCATTTTCTTTTTTATTAGTTTTTTTTCTGTACTTACCCCTTTTTCGTTTGTATACTTACCCAATTTTTTTCTTTTTTACTTCTCTATGAGAAAGTGTTATCAGATTGGCAACACTTTATTGTAAAGTGGTGATTCTAACAAGGGCGGTGAAACCATTTGTTGATACCGGGAATCAAATCCTCAGAAAGTTGAGAATCCTGGTGAAGGAAAATATTCACTTAGGCGGGTCGCTTCTGGGTCATACTCTAGCGCTTAATTCTGGTAAGCTAGGATTAGGTTGTGATAACGAGATAGATCGAGAGATTCTTTATTTGGACAGGCATAAATAATTTATAGAGGATAATGTAGATTTAGCTAATTGAATGTCCATTTGTATTCTATAGTCATTTTATAAAATAAAGAAAGGATCACTGAAGTAAAAAAAAAAAAAAAAAAGAATCTACTTTGAATATTATACTTAAAGGCTTTATTCCAATATTTCTAATCCAAAGTATGATATTCTATACAAACTAGCCTTTCAAATTACTATCAAAATTCAATTTAAATTAATAAATTTATTTACAAACAAATATAAAAACTATATTATATTAATTTTTTAATTTAAAAAAACAATATAATATTACTCTATAACTAATCTTGGTTATAATAATCTAGTAACAAATTTTCAAAATACAGTAAACTTGAAAAATATATATCTACTCATACTGATATGACCTGCCTAAGTAATTATATATTAACAATTTCTGCCTACCACTTGAACAGATTATTTGTAAAATAAATATTTATAATATATTATAGATTAAATATAGCATATCCTTAAATTATATTTTATCTATCACAATTTAGGTAAGTCTTTAATCACTCCAGTAGATTTAAATTGCAGATAAAATACAGCAGTCTAAGCTTTTATTTTTATATATAATACTTACTTTTTATATTTCATGTATTTAAAGATTAGTAATTCACTATAGTTACTATATTAAAAACTATTAATAAAAATACAAGCAAGGCCTCACCTTAATACCAAAAAAAAAAGATTTATTCTTGGTTTATAAAAATCATTTGATCTAATTACAGTAAGACCTCTCTAAGTGCACGCTCTATAAGTGCACGCACTATGTAAATTCTCTCTAAATGCACGGTATAACGTGGCCCCAACTTATAAAAGCATTATATATTTTGCTCTCTATAAATGCACTCTCTCTTTAAGTGCACGTTTTGCTTTTTTTTGAATATGGTCCCGAGAGGGTGCACTTAGGGAGGTCTTACTGTATATATAAACAATCACTGGTAAAAATTCACCACTGGTAAATTTTAAATAAATCCTTTTATATATGTTTTATTATAAAATTGATTATCGGGCGTTACTTTTGCGGCCTACTATACGTACTAAATTCAGTTTTTTATATATATACTGTATGAGTGTTGCCAAGAAAAAGGCATTATGGAGTTTCAATTATAGATTGTACCGGACACGATCCTTAATAAATTAGACCGGTACAAAATATAATTGAAACTCCGTAGTGCCTTTTCCCTTGGCAGCACTCATATATAATTTTAGTACAGTAAATCCAAACCATTAAAGTATATACGTATTATTTATACGTCATCGCAAAATCAACTAATTTTAACGATTGCAGTAGAATTTTTAGTTAGAGCAGCATACTAATCTGGAAAATGATTTTCTGCGATGTTATATTTCTAATCCAAGATGCATTACATATCTTTAGAGTATAAACCACTTTGTTTGCTTTTTACCAGAATCTATAATGATGTAATACATAAATCATTCGATTTACTAATTTTGGGCGTCTTTCTTGATGAATTCGGTTAGCGAACAATGATTCCATGTTCATATACCATATGCGTACGTAAGAGTAGAACCTTAATGATTTACTATGATCAGTTACAGGTTTTTATTTTCATGCATTCAAACAGTATTTTAGATTTTGACTAGCACTATTCATAACCCTGGTGATAATGTAATTTAACGTTACACGGCATAATATTTTTCCGTTAAAACATGCGGGAGGATTTTTTCGATTTGGTGATTATTAAAATTAATGATAACATTTCATAAAATCTACAGTAAAATAGAATTGACATTGATATTGCTTGATCTCTGGTAAAATTGAATTTTACAATTTTATTTGATTGGTCAATGGCTTGCCTTAACTATTAATCCATTTAAATCATCATTGTGTTTAATTAGCCAGTTACTTTTCTTAGCAATAAATTCATGAAGATGCATAATCATTAATAAATCATTATGTATATCACTTAATTTTAATAATCACAACATTTCCATCAAAAAAATTTTCGCTCATAATGAACAATCATCGATATTATCTCGGGCGGACACAAATAATTATTCAAAATTCTGAAATTCAATCAAATTTAGGCGAGATGAATGAGTACGTAGATTACGCAAATCGTCACAATACCCACATTTGGATACATACACCCCACTAACTTTACTCATTATCTGCGGATCACGATTCTCAACTCATAATAACCCCGCCATGAAAAAACTCTGGTTTTTTGACAACAATGACAAAATCAACACCATTCATAATAGAAGATGGTATATCTGTTTCTGACTCGCTTATGCCGTCCCTGGTAGTAATTTCTGGTGGAACTGCTTGCAACTTAATGGTAAGTGATCAATGATTATAAAAAAAAACAATTACGATTATAAAAATTGGTATATATTTACGATTTTGTTTTTGAAGGTTAATACCCTGCAAGATATTACCACAGACGTGAGTTATGTACTTGGTTTGAGTGATAATGGTGGCTCAACTAGCGAAATTTTACGTGTTCTTGGCGGACCAGGGATCGGAGATATTAGAAGTAGATTAGTTAGACTAATTAAAGCCGAGAAAGGAGATTACGAAAAAACGGCTATAAAAAACTTGCTTAGTTATCGGTTGCCTGTTGAGGGAAATGAGACAGACATAAGAAATGAGTGGCTGGAAGTGGTTGAAGGAACTCATAGGTATGTTGTTTTATGGATTTGAGTGACGCCAGGGGGGGAAATCGGACTTTAGGCTTTCAAGTTTTATTATTTACTATTTATTAGACTCAACCTTGATCAGAGACATATATGATACGTAATTAAAATTACTTATGTACCAGAGTCCTGCAAATAAACTTGAAAACTCGAGGTTTGGTTTTCCCCTGGCATCACACATTTTTCACTATTATGTTTTCATTATACATAATAAAGTGTTTGTATATTCATTCGATCTACTTCAAGTCTTTGGCGAAATATCCCTTCAGAAATTAAAGGAACTATACGTGGATTCTTGGTACATTTTCAAACTGAACTTCTAAGGAGAGCACATAAGAAATTCGACTTTCGCAATGGTAGTATTGGCAATTTTTTTCTTTGTGGAGCACGACTTTTTTGTGGATCGTTAGAGAGTGCAATTTTTTTATTTGCAGCAATAACGGGAATCAGTGAATCGACAAAAGTGATCCCAATAATTAATACAAATAATAATGTGGCTATCGCAGCGGAACTTGACAATGGAACTATAATAACAGGTCAATGTGAAATTTCACATCCATCTCAAGAACCACAAAATTCGCCTCCGGTTGCTGATAATTCATATGAAAATATCATGTGGCAAGATTCACCTACCGAAACTTTTAATTCCATGAAAACTGTTTCGCGAAGTAATCTTATTTTCGACAAATCAAAAGTAGTCACATTGAATCGTCGAATTAATCGAATTTATTACATTAACGAATATGGACAGGAGATATTTCCTTCTGTAAATTCAAAAGTACTTAAAAGTCTTTCAATGAAATCAACGCTCATTTATTCTATCGGCTCTTTATATACGTCTATTATGCCTTGCCTTATCCTCCGTGGAGTTGGTAAAGCAATAGCCGAGTCTACTACATTAAAACACAAAATTCTAATTCTCAATGGCTCAAATGATCGCGAAACTGATCAATTCACAGCTTTAGATTTTATAACAGCTATCGTAGATGGATGTAATTCTTCGTTGAGATTTGATGGATTTTGGCCTAAAGAATATCCTGCAGATAAATACATAACACATTTGATTTACTTGGACAATTCATTTGTAAAAGTTAACGTATTAGAAATTGAAAAATTAGGAATAGAATGTATAAGTGTAACAGGCACATTTCAAGATGGGCAACCTGTATTTACCGAGAAATCTCTTGATTATGTTTTAAATAACATTATAAGATAGCATATATACATAGATTTTTTTCTAAATTTATTTATTTTATGAAACATCTATCTTCATGAATAATTGAGTTTCTAGTATTCACATTTTTAGCAAAAAAAAAAAAAAAATAGCAATAAATCATTTACGTGGTCTAGTTTAGATATTTGAAAGATTCATGTCCTATTAAGTATACAAGTATTAATACGATATACTTTTAGTCAAATTATTAATATCGGGTGACTTTTTTACATCCAAAGTCCAGGTCCGCAAAGTCCTTTGAGTTTTTGTTTTGGAGGATCAGTTTTTTCTGAAGGTGGTATGGTCGTGTTAACTGTCGCGACCAGATCAATTATAATTGATGAATTTTTCTTATTAATTCCTGTATCATTTATTCCATCATCAATATTATCAATATCACCGATATCAGTATTATCAATATTGTCAATATTATCCTTTGTCGTTGGTTTTCTTGTGATTTGACGATAAATTGGTGGAACTCGAAGATTTTTGTTACATCCAAGTTTTCTTGATTTTGTCTTATACAAATTCCTTTCCTTTTTTTTAATTTAGAACATAAGGAATGTGATTTTGGATAAGTTGGTTTATCATCTTTAATTGTAGTATTTGATTGAGGAATCTCAATCGTGGCTTGTATGACAACTGTAGTATTTGTTGGTACGGGAGAATTTTCATTATAATTATTCGATCCAGGAAAAGGGTGGTTTAAATGGGTGAATCCTAAATCATCTATTCCATCATTTATTCCATAATCGAAACCATTTGATAATTTTGATGTTTGGAAATTATTAAAAGGATTTGAAGGTTGAAAATAATTAGGAAGTGAATTTGATGAGATCTTTGATCTTTTTTCGTAATTCGCAACGCAACGATTATGACGATTGTTTTTGTTTAAAGTTGGAATTCTTTTATAATATGTAGGATAGGAAAGTATAATTCCGATATTTATAGAGAAAATAAAAAGTAGGATAAATGATGAAATTGATGTAATCATCTTTAATTTCTTTAATTTCTTCAAGTAGAGGACAATGATTTCTGAACGGTATATATAAGTATTATATATATTGGGATTTCCAATTATAAATCGATAAAATAAAGGGTAATTAATATAAATTAATATAAATCTTTAAATTTTATTAATCAACAACAAAATTGATATAAATTTGATTAATTAAAACATCTATAAAAAAATTATTGATGCGTATAAAACATTTTATTTAATCTAAAGTACAGTATGTGCATATACAAATATAACTACATTTTACAAGGATTCAATCTATAAAATATATATTAAAAACTAATTTTAGTGATTACGATCAATTCTTTTTTTAAAGATTGTAATTACGAATTGTAAATATCTATAAAAATTTTTTTTTTCTAAAAAAAAAAAAAAAAATAAAACACCCATTAATTATATTACTTGCATAACCAATATGTATAAGTATGTTTATATTTGGGTATATAATTCTAATATCGAGTTAAAGCCATTCTTCTTCGTGTTCTAATTCGATCACGACGATTATAACCATCATGTATTAATTCCTCTTCACCTTCATTCATCATAACTGGCCTACCGCTTTCACAACATTCTCTAATATCATCTAATAAAAGCGCACATAATCTTCTTGTTGGTACAATTAGATCAATGCAAGGACTAATATGTTTGAGATCCTCATAAATTTTAAGTTGCACTGAATCTATACCAACGGAGTCCAGTAATGAGAAAAAATTCCGTGTAGATGTTGTAGGGTGAAACGTGTCCTATTCATAGTAAAAGAAAAAAAATCCATGAATTATGTGGATAATGTATAGATAATAATTCATTCTCAATCTTTACTTCAATGTTCACCTACTTATTTACTCAATTATGCTTTCAATAATTCACAACACCGTGCTCAGCTAAAAAAGTTATTACCTCAAAAAGTTGTTCTAATCCATGGAGATAAGGTAAATTATGATTAAATAATTATTGGATAATGGTTGAATAATTGATTGAATAATGGTTAAATAAGACCATTCAAAGTTGATTAGTTGGTTAACGTCGATATTTTGGGCTCAGGTACGAAGGGGGGAGGGAAAATTTAAACAACACATATAATTCCGTGAATACTTGATCAAATCTTATTGGTCAACTTTAATCACATGATAAATGAAGTTTATGCTATGCTGTGATTAGCTTGTTTAATTTTCGGGTGGACAGTTATCCGAGAGGGGAGATGACGTTAACCAACTAATCAACTTTGAACCCTAACGCTAATGATTGAGAATGAATTATTATCTATACATTATCCACATAATTCATGGATTTTTTTTCTTTTACTATGAATAGGACACGTTTCACCCTACAACATCTACACGGAATTTTTTCTCATTACTGGACTCCGTTGGTATAGATTCAGTGCAACTTAAAATTTATGAGGATCTCAAACATATTAGTCCTTGCATTGATCTAATTGTACCAACAAGAAGATTATGTGCGCTTTTATTAGATGATATTAGAGAATGTTGTGAAAGCGGTAGGCCAGTTATGATGAATGAAGGTGAAGAGGAATTAATACATGATGGTTATAATCGTCGTGATCGAATTAGAACACGAAGAAGAATGGCTTTAACTCGATATTAGAATTATATACCCAAATATAAACATACTTATACATATTGGTTATGCAAGTAATATAATTAATGGGTGTTTTATTTTTTTTTTTTTTTTTAGAAAAAAAAAATTTTTATAGATATTTACAATTCGTAATTACAATCTTTAAAAAAAGAATTGATCGTAATCACTAAAATTAGTTTTTAATATATATTTTATAGATTGAATCCTTGTAAAATGTAGTTATATTTGTATATGCACATACTGTACTTTAGATTAAATAAAATGTTTTATACGCATCAATAATTTTTTTATAGATGTTTTAATTAATCAAATTTATATCAATTTTGTTGTTGATTAATAAAATTTAAAGATTTATATTAATTTATATTAATTACCCTTTATTTTATCGATTTATAATTGGAAATCCCAATATATATAATACTTATATATACCGTTCAGAAATCATTGTCCTCTACTTGAAGAAATTAAAGAAATTAAAGATGATTACATCAATTTCATCATTTATCCTACTTTTTATTTTCTCTATAAATATCGGAATTATACTTTCCTATCCTACATATTATAAAAGAATTCCAACTTTAAACAAAAACAATCGTCATAATCGTTGCGTTGCGAATTACGAAAAAAGATCAAAGATCTCATCAAATTCACTTCCTAATTATTTTCAACCTTCAAATCCTTTTAATAATTTCCAAACATCAAAATTATCAAATGGTTTCGATTATGGAATAAATGATGGAATAGATGATTTAGGATTCACCCATTTAAACCACCCTTTTCCTGGATCGAATAATTATAATGAAAATTCTCCCGTACCAACAAATACTACAGTTGTCATACAAGCCACGATTGAGATTCCTCAATCAAATACTACAATTAAAGATGATAAACCAACTTATCCAAAATCACATTCCTTATGTTCTAAATTAAAAAAAAGGAAAGGAATTTGTATAAGACAAAATCAAGAAAACTTGGATGTAACAAAAATCTTCGAGTTCCACCAATTTATCGTCAAATCACAAGAAAACCAACGACAAAGGATAATATTGACAATATTGATAATACTGATATCGGTGATATTGATAATATTGATGATGGAATAAATGATACAGGAATTAATAAGAAAAATTCATCAATTATAATTGATCTGGTCGCGACAGTTAACACGACCATACCACCTTCAGAAAAAACTGATCCTCCAAAACAAAAACTCAAAGGACTTTGCGGACCTGGACTTTGGATGTAAAAAAGTCACCCGATATTAATAATTTGACTAAAAGTATATCGTATTAATACTTGTATACTTAATAGGACATGAATCTTTCAAATATCTAAACTAGACCACGTAAATGATTTATTGCTATTTTTTTTTTTTTTTTGCTAAAAATGTGAATACTAGAAACTCAATTATTCATGAAGATAGATGTTTCATAAAATAAATAAATTTAGAAAAAAATCTATGTATATATGCTATCTTATAATGTTATTTAAAACATAATCAAGAGATTTCTCGGTAAATACAGGTTGCCCATCTTGAAATGTGCCTGTTACACTTATACATTCTATTCCTAATTTTTCAATTTCTAATACGTTAACTTTTACAAATGAATTGTCCAAGTAAATCAAATGTGTTATGTATTTATCTGCAGGATATTCTTTAGGCCAAAATCCATCAAATCTCAACGAAGAATTACATCCATCTACGATAGCTGTTATAAAATCTAAAGCTGTGAATTGATCAGTTTCGCGATCATTTGAGCCATTGAGAATTAGAATTTTGTGTTTTAATGTAGTAGACTCGGCTATTGCTTTACCAACTCCACGGAGGATAAGGCAAGGCATAATAGACGTATATAAAGAGCCGATAGAATAAATGAGCGTTGATTTCATTGAAAGACTTTTAAGTACTTTTGAATTTACAGAAGGAAATATCTCCTGTCCATATTCGTTAATGTAATAAATTCGATTAATTCGACGATTCAATGTGACTACTTTTGATTTGTCGAAAATAAGATTACTTCGCGAAACAGTTTTCATGGAATTAAAAGTTTCGGTAGGTGAATCTTGCCACATGATATTTTCATATGAATTATCAGCAACCGGAGGCGAATTTTGTGGTTCTTGAGATGGATGTGAAATTTCACATTGACCTGTTATTATAGTTCCATTGTCAAGTTCCGCTGCGATAGCCACATTATTATTTGTATTAATTATTGGGATCACTTTTGTCGATTCACTGATTCCCGTTATTGCTGCAAATAAAAAAATTGCACTCTCTAACGATCCACAAAAAAGTCGTGCTCCACAAAGAAAAAAATTGCCAATACTACCATTGCGAAAGTCGAATTTCTTATGTGCTCTCCTTAGAAGTTCAGTTTGAAAATGTACCAAGAATCCACGTATAGTTCCTTTAATTTCTGAAGGGATATTTCGCCAAAGACTTGAAGTAGATCGAATGAATATACAAACACTTTATTATGTATAATGAAAACATAATAGTGAAAAATGTGTGATGCCAGGGGAAAACCAAACCTCGAGTTTTCAAGTTTATTTGCAGGACTCTGGTACATAAGTAATTTTAATTACGTATCATATATGTCTCTGATCAAGGTTGAGTCTAATAAATAGTAAATAATAAAACTTGAAAGCCTAAAGTCCGATTTCCCCCCCTGGCGTCACTCAAATCCATAAAACAACATACCTATGAGTTCCTTCAACCACTTCCAGCCACTCATTTCTTATGTCTGTCTCATTTCCCTCAACAGGCAACCGATAACTAAGCAAGTTTTTTATAGCCGTTTTTTCGTAATCTCCTTTCTCGGCTTTAATTAGTCTAACTAATCTACTTCTAATATCTCCGATCCCTGGTCCGCCAAGAACACGTAAAATTTCGCTAGTTGAGCCACCATTATCACTCAAACCAAGTACATAACTCACGTCTGTGGTAATATCTTGCAGGGTATTAACCTTCAAAAACAAAATCGTAAATATATACCAATTTTTATAATCGTAATTGTTTTTTTTTATAATCATTGATCACTTACCATTAAGTTGCAAGCAGTTCCACCAGAAATTACTACCAGGGACGGCATAAGCGAGTCAGAAACAGATATACCATCTTCTATTATGAATGGTGTTGATTTTGTCATTGTTGTCAAAAAACCAGAGTTTTTTCATGGCGGGGTTATTATGAGTTGAGAATCGTGATCCGCAGATAATGAGTAAAGTTAGTGGGGTGTATGTATCCAAATGTGGGTATTGTGACGATTTGCGTAATCTACGTACTCATTCATCTCGCCTAAATTTGATTGAATTTCAGAATTTTGAATAATTATTTGTGTCCGCCCGAGATAATATCGATGATTGTTCATTATGAGCGAAAATTTTTTTGATGGAAATGTTGTGATTATTAAAATTAAGTGATATACATAATGATTTATTAATGATTATGCATCTTCATGAATTTATTGCTAAGAAAAGTAACTGGCTAATTAAACACAATGATGATTTAAATGGATTAATAGTTAAGGCAAGCCATTGACCAATCAAATAAAATTGTAAAATTCAATTTTACCAGAGATCAAGCAATATCAATGTCAATTCTATTTTACTGTAGATTTTATGAAATGTTATCATTAATTTTAATAATCACCAAATCGAAAAAATCCTCCCGCATGTTTTAACGGAAAAATATTATGCCGTGTAACGTTAAATTACATTATCACCAGGGTTATGAATAGTGCTAGTCAAAATCTAAAATACTGTTTGAATGCATGAAAATAAAAACCTGTAACTGATCATAGTAAATCATTAAGGTTCTACTCTTACGTACGCATATGGTATATGAACATGGAATCATTGTTCGCTAACCGAATTCATCAAGAAAGACGCCCAAAATTAGTAAATCGAATGATTTATGTATTACATCATTATAGATTCTGGTAAA